ACTCCATGCACAGCAGAACGAAACAATGTTCGATGGGGATTATACCTCACCACCGCTGCCACCCCCGAGTCCATCAATGATGCCACCTGGCTGATCCATCTCGTTGGGGGTCTTCCTCTTTTTCTCTGACCCTCCACCCTACCCTGTTATGTGCCACTAAGTCAGTTTTGACTCACAGAGACCCTGTAGAGGGTTTCCAGGGAGCAGCTGGTAGGTTTGAACCACCAGCCTTGTGTTTAGCAGTTCAGAACTTACCCTACAGTGCCATACTAGGACTTCAACATCATACAGTATCAACTATATCATTGATACTTACTGTTCTTTTAGATATTATTGGGTTGGAAGGCCTATATTTTTAACTTCTTAAGCTTTAGTAGATGAATTATCTATGAATTCAATTAAAATGATCTTTTAAATAGTATTTTTTATACTTATATAATACTTGTTGAATCGTCTGGGTTCTTTGACATTTGTTGAGATTCAATCTTCATGATCAATTTTTGTCAATGTTCTATGAACACTAGACAGAATGCACCTTCTCTGCCTGTTGGTTCTGACCTGTCTGTCCAATATCTGCATGTTGAAACCAGTCTGCTAATCTTGTTGCTTAAATCCTTTCTGCCCTCAATCGTGTTTTGGTCTACGTGGCTTGTTGGAAATATGATCTCCATTTCTGTAGTTCTGCCAACTTTTCTTCTGATTCTCTCACTTTCGCTTCAGATATCGCCCATTCTGTTGTTAGGTTAATACAAGGGCATGATTTTTATGCCTTTTTTGGTGAGTTTTGCTTCTTTTTAACATGTGTGAAGTCTCCCTTCTCTACAAATGCTGTTTTGACTAATATTACCATCACTTCATAAGTCTAATGCATATATTTTCCATAGCTTTGGTTTTAATCATTCAGCATGGTTGTACGTAGAACACGTCCAAAGTCACTAAATATTTTTACCTGACTCCCAAATGAAACAGTTTCCAGAGAGGCTTGAAAACTTTTCTAAATCCCAAACTTCCATTGTTGTCTTGAGTCTTTGTTTGTTTTCTTCTCTGTGTGTTTTTTTTTTAACACTTAAAAAAAGAGAA